GCTAACTCATTACCAACTCTCTTGTCAATAAAGGGCAGCTAACCTGATTACCAACTCTCTTGGCAATAAAGATCAGCTAACTCATTACCAACGCTCTTGTGAATAAAGATCAGCTAACTCATTACCAACTCTCTTGGCAATAAAGGTCAGCTAACTCATTACCAACTCTCTTGTAAATAAAGGCCAGCTAACTCATTACCAACGCTCTTGTGAATAAAGGCCAGTTAACTCATTACCAACTCTCCTGTAAGTAAAGGCCAGCTAACCTCATTGCCAAATCACTTATTATCAAATCTTTTTACCACGTTTCCTGTAAAAAGAAGGGTTTTATTTCAAACCTTAATAATGGAGGCAAACATTAGTATGTGTTCCTGACCGGGATGACATAAAATTACCATTTATATATCTAGATATATTGTTGACATACGAAACCTCAAACGAAGTATATTGGTTAAAAGAACTTATTGATAGAAGCTTTAAGTATATAACGTGAATATTTCTGGTAAAGCAATGGAGAAAGTACCTTTTTTCTATTATCTTTGCAATAGGTTTTGTAGTTCAGCACTATCTCTAATATTATCAAAACTGTCATGGACAGGATCTCGTCTATTCTGACGACATTTTGGTGTCGGAAGTCAGTTTAAACAAGCAACTGGTGAATTCATGTTGGGATATTCATGCAGTATAACCTTTAACAAACCTACGTTGAGTGTCATCTGCTTAAACGAAAAGGTTAAGTTCCGTAAAAAGTTTTCTCTATAGAGAAGCACGTGGCATCTGTCTGGAACTAGTGTATACTTAGGAAAAACCTCAGATAAAATTTATTAAGGCCCCGTGCCACTTATTGCAACATAAATTACATTGTACTTTACCATTACAAAAAGCTCGCAAAAAGGAGTGGATCTGGGCAGATAATCAGCAACCTGCTTTTGAATCAAAATAAAATTCCATGTAAAACAGTGACACTCGCTTGGGAAGCTTTCATCCTCTGAATAACGACGCTTTGAACGAAGCCCTTGGAGCTGAGCTACAGTTGTAAGATAGGAACAGTGCGGGCTGAAGAACGTCGTAATGTATGCCAGCACATGATTGACAACACCACAGAGCACGCACTGTATTACCAGGAGAGAACTGCCTACGATTGTAACATTGACGAGACTTAACACCAACTCGGACACCCTTTTTATGAAAATTTCTTCATGGCTATTGAAGTTCAAATGTATAGAGCAAAAATGTATAGAAAGGTCAACTAGCTTGATTGGTTAATGTCCGAGCGGTACCATCGAGTGCACTATCGTGCTTTGTGTGCTGCTCAAACTATTGTGCAGCTCGCTATCAGTGCAAAGTTTAATATATCTATATGTATATGCCTTAATCATTGATAAAAACAGGGGATTTGTGGGTATATAAGGCACATGTAGGGCTGAAGTAACACCTTAAGAGTTGATGGTCTAAGACTGCTCCAACACTACAAGTCTTACATACAGATCGACTCAGTTCATTCTTACTACACTACCAATCCATGCCAATTTCTTATCACCTCTCCTGGCAGTTATCGTATTGTTACCTGTGTTTGAATCAGTTAACATGGCGGGGATTATGGTATGATATGGACGTTTAGTTGGGGCGATCACATTTGGGTGCTCTGGATCCAATGAAAATCCACTCCCTCGGTTCTACAACACAGACATGAAATACACTAACACCTGGTCAGTATATGGATCAAGGTACACTGGAATATGTAACAATAACAACCTTCTCTTTCATGAAAATTGTTCTAGACGATAGATATTTGGTATGTTGACTCAAACAGCTTTTGCTTCGAAATACAAATATTGCCATTGATTGTGATGATGTCACCACACAGATACTCAAACAGGTGTACGCTCTATTTAATGTAACACCGACGTTTCCTAACGGAATTCGAAGTGTTGCATTTCATAGTAAGGCTTTCACTTGATGCATACACATTGACAAGATGTTTCCAACTTAGAATGTTAACCATTGGCGTAGTGAAAACAGTGCCAAATACAAGAATAAAATAACTTGTGTAATGTAAATCTAAAAATGATCAGCTATAATTGTTTTATACATTCCCGTAGTATACATAATCCAATTTTCTTAAATATATGCATATAAGCTGCACACAGAACACTTAATTTCTTCTGGTATCGAACTAGATATCATGATGAAAGAAAAAGATACTTCAGACGTTAGTTTAGTCGTAAATGTCATCAAAGGGTGTGTAAGAGGAGCGTTAGTAGACAGATTCCAAGATAACCTTCCCACCACACTGACTATATGATGATACCGACGTTACACTCCTTACCTGTAACGTAAAGCCACACCCCTCGGGAACAATGGCCGAGCCGAACCCCATGAAGTTGCTGTTGATGAAGGAGCATGCATTGCCTTGCGAGTCTGCTGTAGTGAAGTACACAGTGTCGGGGCCAATGTTCAAATCGCCTCTTTTCACATTCGCCATAGCCCTGTGTGCACAAACCACAAAGGAAGTGATTGATGTTCATCTTGATCTGTTGAATTAGACAGACTCTTTGCTTAACTTAAACAAATGCCGTCTGATAACGTTTCTAGTCTACAGTCGAACCAAACGCAACCTGAGTATCATCTTGATCATCTAGATCTAGATACTATTAGTCCATGTATTATTTAGACTTACAACTGTTAGTCCACGTATTATCTAGACCAACAACTGTTAGTCCATGTTTTATCTAGACCTACAACTGTCAGTCCACGTATTATCTAGACCTACAAATGTTAGTCCATGCTTTATCTAGACCTATCATAGTTGTCCATATATTATTAAGATCTACAACTATTAGTCCGTGTATTATCTAGACCTATCAAAGTTAGTCCGGGTATTATTAAGACCTACAACTGTTAGTCCGTGTATTATCTAGACCTACAATTTGTACAACTGTTAG